TGGCCGCCGACGCCGCGATGATGATGGTGTCCATGTGCATCGCCGCTGAAGTCTCCGTCCGGATTTCGCGGCATTGGGAGTGCTGGACGCTGCGGGGGGGTGGGGGTAAGGGTGGGGGTGGTTAGACACTTAGATTAAAACTTCAATTTCGATTTTTCAAAAGGACCATAAAATCAAAGACGTAGAAAACAAACCTTAATTTTCAATGTTTTAAAAGGAGCCTAAAATCGCACACACTTAAAATAGCTTCAATTTCAATACTCTAAATCCATCATATCTTAATATACCTCAATATCAATATATCACAGACACTTGAAATAAACTCTTTCATATTTCAATACTTCAAAAGGGCCCCACCATTACAAAAACTTAAAATAAACCTTAATATCAATATTTCACAGATACTTATAATAAACCTTAATTTTTTATACTACGAATGTGAAAGGGAATGGGGAAAGGGGGAGGGGGAAGGTGGAGGGGGGGAAGGGAAGAAGGGAGAAATGGAGGAAGGGAGGAAGGGGGGAGGGGGGAAGGGGGAAGGGGGGAAGGGGAAGAGGGGAAAAGGGAAGAGGGAAGCGGGAAGGTAGGAAGGGGGGGAAGGGGGAAGGGGAGAACTTACTTGCTAGGAGTGACGTTCACATCTTCCAAGGACACGACGCAGACGACGATGCACTCCTGAGTAGGGACGTTCTTGATTTTGAATTCCCGCTCTGAGGCTGCGAGGGGAGGACCCAGCTGTCGGAATGAAGAGTGGATTAACTTTTGTTTACTTTATAGTATCTTGTAGCAATAAGGACAGATGATAAGGATGATTAAGCTGGAAGAGTGTGTAATCCAAACACACCAAAATATGAAGAACGGGATTCACGGCTAGAATCATCAAAATATCTTAGTCTACCATCGAAAAAAAGGATACTGAATAACGTTTTCTTTGATAAACTCCGTTTTCACATACCGTTATTATTTCAAAATATCAAATACATTCGAAATTAAAAAACTGTTACCGAAATAAAACCGACTTCATCCTTTAAGAACTGAAGACCTACCTTGAAATTCTTATCACCGAAGAGACGGTAAACCACCCTGAAGCCTAGAATATTAGAGACTTCAGAATCCCACTGAATGATGACTGAATTATCCTTCCTGTAGGCGTGTTGGACGATGACCTGAGGACAGATAACGTGGATTAATAAAAAAAAAAAAAAAGGAAAATATGACGTGGATTAAGGAAAAAAAAATATGAGGATTTATGAAGTAGGAGAGAATGATGTGGATTAATCATAAAGTAAAGTGATATTGTTGTTATTAGCGCTATTCTCGAAATACGTCGATTGTTTTTAAAAATTCATGTATGTTTTGTTTGTACGACAAGTATGGCTGTTCTGGGTCTACACAATTATTTCAATTTCTTCCTTTTCTCTCTTTTCTTCTCATTTAAATCCTTTATATTAGTTGTTTTTACTACCCTTCCTTCTCTCTTTACTTTCCCTTCCTATCCCTTTCTTCCTATGTTCTCGTTCTACCTTCATTTACCCCTTTGTCTTCACATTCCTTTCCCACTCTCCACTTTGTCCCTTAACCTAAATTTCCCTTTTCTCCTCTACTTCCCTAGGGGTCATCCTTTCTTCTCTTCTCCCCCTCCTCCCCTCTTCCCTCCTCCCCTCCCCTCTTCCCTCTTCCCCTCTCCTCTCCCCTCCTCCCCTCTCCTCTCCCCTCTTCCCTCCTCACCCTCTCCTTTCATCCTCCTCTCCCTTCCTCCCCCTCGGCTCTCCTCTCCTCCCCTCCTCCCCTCTTCTCCCACTTCCCCCTCTCCTCTTCCCTCCTCTCCTACCCCTCTCCTCTCCTCCCCCTCCTCCACCCTACTCCCCCTCTCCTCTTCCCCCTTCCCCCTCCTCCCCCTTCCCCCTCTCACCTCCTCCACGTAGGGCACCTGCGCCCTCGCCCCGAAGAAATCGTCGGCGCCTTCGTCTTCGTTCCTGAGCACGAGGTTGGGCCTGGAGGCGGAGGGCACGGGCTGCGAGGGGGGGCGCTCGATCCTCGGGGGGCGCTGCTGGGACCTGGTGGGGGGGAGGTCGAAGGACGGCGACGAGGAGGAGGAGGAAGGGCGTCCGGCTGAGCCCCCTCCAGAAGGGCTTTCTCCGCCGGGGCCGCGCTGGATGCTGCCGACGCTCCCGACGCCCGTGGGGCCTTCCCCGGAGCGGCTGCCGGGCCTGACGGCGGTGCCTGGGCGGTAGGACGTGGCCTGCAGAAGGGGGGGGGGATTAGTGTCGGAGGAATGCTCAATGAAGTCAAAATATGTTTTATTGTTTAATCCAAGGATTAAAAATAAGTAAATAGATAAATAAATAAATGATAAAAAAAAACAGGAAACAAACAAATAACGCAAAAAAAGGAGTTATCAAAAAAGACAATAAATGGAAGAAATCCGGTAGGATTACAATCAAGTTTTTTCATCAAAACACTAATAACGAAAATAAAAAAATAAAAAAATGATAAACAAAAAAATCGAAATCTCACGTCAGGTTCCGAGCGCTGCGTGGCGGCGGCGGCAGTGGTGGAAGGCGATTGAGTCGTCGTCGTCGTCGTGGTGGTCTCCGGAGTCGTGACCTCCGTGGAAGTCGTAGTCGGGGTCGTCCTGACGGGAGTGGCGGGATCCTCGGAGGGCGGCAACAGCGGATCCTCGGTGACGGAGGCGTTGCAGGCGAGCTCGTCGGGGTTCACCTGGTAGAAGGACCGCTCGCGAAGCTCCGGAGGCTGCCCGCAGAACTGGGGGTTGCGCTCGCGGGACGTCACCTGCAGGTCGTAGTCTCGGATCCACTCGGTAATCCAGGCGACGCGGCAATCGCACTGCAGGAACCGACCGCCTGCAAGCACAAGCGAGGGTCATGAGGCAGGCATCGGCGAGTTGGAAGAAGTTTTCTCATTAAATTCCTCCGCGGTTTGTAATTAAGCTCAGATACAGCGCTGAATGCAGGCGGAAAATGGTATGCAAATTATCGATGGGACAATAGACAGTCTTGTATACGGAGGAGGAAAAAAAAGCAAGTACTTGGGAGGAAGGAAGGGAGGAAGAGAGGGAGGGAGAGAGGGAAGGAGGGCTGGAGCGAGAGAGAGAGGGAGAGAGAGAGAGAGAGAGAGAGAGAGAGAGAGAGAGAGAGAGAGAGAGAGAGAGAGTGACAGAGAGAGAGAGAAAGAGAGAGAAAGACACAGAGAGAGTAAGAAAGATAAAGTCAGAAAGAGAGACAGATTGACAAAAAGAGAAAAAAAGAAAGAAAGTGAAAAAAACAGACAGAAAGAGATCGAGAAACACAACCAAGCAAAAAAAATAAAAAAATAACAAATAAACAAATAGAGAGAGAGAGGGGGGGGGGATTTAGGGGAAAAAATAACAGACACAAAAAAATTACCCCAAATTTTACCCCAAGCCAGACCCCTAAACTTACCAACGGAGAAGCCCCTAAGGGTAGTATTGAGATGGGCAAAAGCTCTTTCAGGGACGGTGTTTAGGGGGTTTCCGTCCAGGGCAAGGAGAGTCAGGGAAGTGACGGCCCTAAACCCATTCAGGGGCACTCGCGTGATCAGGTTGAAGCCGATGTCCAAAACCTGAGGGGCAAAGAAAAAAAAAAGTTAATTAAAATATATGTGGGGATTCTAACATGTTTATAATGTATAGTTGTAAACACGTTTGTATATAATAATAATGATGATGATAATGATGGTGATAGTAACAAGGATGATGGTGATGATAACAATAATAATTCAAAATAATAATGATGATAATAATAATAATAATGATGATAATAATAATAACTGTAAAGCTAATAGTAATGATAATAATAGTAATAATAACAATGATAATAATAACAATGATGATAATAATAATAATAATAATAATAATGATAACAATAATAGTAATGTTAACAACAATAACAATAACAACATCAATAATAATGACAATACTAATAATAACACCAACAATAGCATTTTCAATAATAATAGTAATAAAAAATCTTCGTCCTCCCTCCCCCCACTTATAGACTCAACTGACAGTTTTAGAATATCACACGAACCAGAATAATTCACTTAATATTAACAGTTATGACATTTCAATGGAAGTGACATGAGTGAGACGAAGAACAGAGGACGGTGACTCGAGGTAACATGACTGAAACATGACTGGCGTCTTAATCAACATCAATTCAACTTGGGGATAAAAGATTCATTCGGATTGAATAGTTTGGGTTTCTATTCAGGCGTGTAAATGTTTACGGACACGTAATGATACGAACACAGAGGTAGACAGGTCCAAAGACGTACACATATACGTACACAGGTGCGAAGGCAAGTTTGTAGATACACGCAGACACGCAGACACTCACACATACATATACAAAATTACATTCACACACATATACACATACATTCATATTCACACACGCACATATATACATACACATTCATATTCACACATATACATACACATGCGCACACACACACACACACACACACACACATTCATATCCCCCCCCCCCCGACACAAAACAAATTACCACGTTCATTAAAAAAAAACAAAAAAAAACACGAAATATGGCTCTCGGATTTCCACAAAAGTAGAAGGAAAAAAAAACAAACATACAAGAACAAAGAAGGAAAACGAAGTAACGACCAATGAAAATGAAGAAGGAAACGGACCGGGGAAAATCCGACCGGTAAACACTGGGTAACCGGGAATAACTAGAGGGTAACTGATGACTGGAACGTAAAAAAAAATAGTGAGGTATTTATCCGGCAGGAAGGCCAGGCTGTGATTGAAGTTCAGTCACTGGAACCCTAGGAGAAAGGAGAGGGGGAGGGAGGGGGAGAAAGGAGAGGGAGAGGGAGGGGGAGGGAGGGGGAGAGGGGGAGAAAGGAGAGGGAGAGGGGGAGGGAGAGGGAGGTGGAGGGAGAAGGGGAGGGGGAGTGGGAGAAGGTGAGGGAGAGGTAGGGAGAGAGAGGGAGAGAGGGGGGAGAGAGAGAGAGGGAGAGAGGGGGGAGAGAGAGAGAGGGAGAGAGGGGAGAGAGAGGGGAGAGAGAGAGAGAGAGAGAGAGAGAGAGCGAGAGTTCTAACAGTAACAATAATAGCAATGATGATTCCACTGATGATAATAACAATAAAAATAAAAACAATAATAATGCTAATACTACTACTAAAAATAATGATGATAATAATAATAATAATAATAACCACAACAACAACAATAATAATAAATGACATTGATAATACCGACTAGCAAAAGTAGCAACGCCTAATGAAAATCCTATAAGTTAAAATGGCCGAAAATCCCGTCTTTCCAGACACGTGATCCGACTGGCCATTGACGCAGAGACCGCCGGCACAAAACGGCATCGACATCCGACCGCGGGGAAACTAACTTTATAAATCCTTAACTACTTGTAAAAAAAGGGAGAGAAAATAAGAAAATACAGAAAGAAAGAAGGAGAAGAAGAAAATCATAAACGATACGCATTAAAGTGTACGACAATAAGAGATTAAAGAAAACAAACAAACAAACAAATCATTGACTACTTGTAAAGAATAAGAAAAAAAAGAAAAAAGAAAAAGAAAAAGAAGAATACGCACCAAAGTGTACGAAAAAAAGTAAAAAACAAACATACAACCACACAAACAAACAAACCTCATCAAATATTACGCATCGAAGGATACGAAAAAAAATAAATGACTGAAAATATCTATAAGTGATATAAAGTAGGTTTTTAGTGACCGCAGGAATAAAATTGTGACGAATTAAGGTGCTTCGAACGGGCTTAGAGGGAGGAAGGGTCAGAGTTAAGGGAGAGGGAGGGAGAGGGAGGAAGGAGGGAGGGAGAAGGAAGAGGGAGGAAGGAGGAAGAGAGAGGAGAGGGGAGAGGAGAGGGAGGAAGGAGGGAGGAGGAAGGGTGGAAAGGGTGGAGACGGAGGTGGGGGAGGTGGAGGCGAGGGAAAAGGGAGGAGTGAGAGGAGGGGGAAAAGAGGGAGGAGGGAGAGGAAGGGAGGAGGAAGTGAGAGGAGAGGGAGAGAGGGGGATGGAAGGGAGAAAGGGAGGGAAGAGGGGAGGAGGCGAGGAAAAGGGAGAGGGAGGGAGAGGGAGGAAGGAGGGAGGAGGAAGGGAGACGGAGGTGGGGGAGAGAGGGAGGAGGGGGAAGTGGAGGGGAGGGAGAAATGGAGGAGGGGCAAAGGAGGAGAGAGGGGAGGAGGGAGAGGGGGAGAAGAGGGAGGAGGTAGAGGAGGGAGCGAGGAAGGGGGGAGGGGCGAGGGAAGGAGAGGGAGGAGGAAGGAGGGGGCAGTTCACAGATAATGGTGTGTGTGTGTGTATCTGAGGTGGGGGGGGGTTGAAGGAGGTTGTGAATGACGAGTCGGGGGGGAGCGGGGGGGAGGGTAGAAAACTGAAGGGGAGATAGAAGAGGGAAGATGGAAGGAAGGGGGAAGGGGGGAGGGAAGATGGAAGGAAGGGGGAGAGGGGGAGAGGGGGGAAGGGGGGAAGGGGGCCACCAGGAAGTGTTGAAGCTGCCGCCGCTTCGCTTGGCCGCCTTCGTAAACATCGTGAACGGCGCGCCATCTTGCGGTAATGTGCGCGGTTCCTTGGTCCAAAAGTCTCATTAACTGTGTATGGTGTTATGGTGTTGTGGTGATGTCATGGTGGACGCTGGAATAGTTCGCGGTTCCTTGGTCCGAAAGTCACATTTACTATGGTGTATGATGCTATGTTGTGGTGTTATGATGTTCTGATGTTATGGTGTCATGGTGATGTCATGGTGGACGCTGGTCCTTGGTCCGAAAGTCTCGTTAACTATGGTGTATAGTGCTATGGTGTTGTGATGTTCTAGTGTTATGGTGATGTCATGGTGGACGCTGGTCTTTGATCCGAAAGTCTCGTTAACTTCATGGTGTTGTGACGTTCTGGTGTTATGGTGTAGGGTGTTGTGAAGGATGGTGTCATGGTGATTCATGGTGGACGGTTGAAGGGTGAAGAACATGAAGAAAAATGGTCCCTAATGACTATTTTGGTGGTCCAAGGAACATTTTTCATATCGAGTAATAAGCAGGAATTTGATCTATACGAAGTGTTCTTAAATTTACGGAAAATACATGAAAAATGGCATTAAACATTCACTTTATTGTACTTTTCCCATTCAAAGACCCATTATAAATCATATATTATAATCATATATAATAGTATTTATAGTATTACAAGTACACTTTTGAACTGGAATTATGTAATAAACCTACTTCTAACCAAATGGCAGTCTTTATAATTTCTCAAAAAAATAGATTTTCTGAAATTAATTCCTAAGCAAAATGTTTTTTTAATATAATAAATGATTCCCAACGTTATGGACTTTTATTTTTAATTCTATTTACGTTTATCTTAACAAATCAGTCGGTCAGTCAGTCTCCCTCTCCCTCCCTCTCTCTCTCTTCCTCTCTCTCTCTCTCTCTCTCTCTCTCTCTCTCTCTCTCTCTCTCTTCCTCTCTCTCTCTCTCTCTCTCTCTCTCTCTCTCTCTCTCCCTCTCTCTCTCTTTGTATACATCTCACATTTTTTTTCTTCATAAGACTGAATATGGTACACCCGTTGCCTCTTTTTTTTAGAACACTGTGATAAAAATGTCGCCAGTGTCCACTCTTATCAGGTCAACACAGATCTCGTTCACAATGTCATTCTTACGAGACAATAGAGATCCTTGGTGTTTTTTTTTTTTTGTCATTATCATTATTATTGTTTTTTTGTTAATTTGTTTGTTTGTTATGATTTTCGTACATGTATTATTTCTAAAACTTTTTTTTTCATTAACGTTGTTCATTTTTTGTGTTCCTCTTTTCTTGTTCCCTTTTTCCATCATTTCTCTCTCTCTCTCTCTCTCTCTCTCTCTCTCTCTCTCTCTCTCTCCCTCACTTCCCTTCATCCTCTTTCCTCTCTATTTCCCTACCCCTCTTCCATCTCTCTCCTCCTAACGTCCCCCACCCTCTCCCTTTCCGTCTCTTCCTCCCCCTCCCCCCCCCATCTTCCTCCCCCCCCCCCCCCCCCCCCCGGAAAACAAGCGACTCACGACTCGCCACTTAAAACGGACACCTAAACACGAACACTAAAAATGTACACTACAAACTTAACATCTAAAAAGAAACATTTAAGACTAACACTTAGTAAAAAGAAACATCTAAATCATCTAACACTCCTCAAAGGAAATTTCGAAAAGTAACGTTTAAAAAGAAACAGCTTAATCGAACACCTAAAAATGAACACCTTAAACGAAACTTCACCTAAAAACGAAATACCCAAAACTTAAAAACACTTAAAACGGACAGACACCTTCCAACCAACCAAGGAAAATAATTGTTTGGGAATAGAAAAAAAAGAAAAAAAAAGAAAAAAAAAGAGAGAGCGCGACCTTTCGGACAAGTTGATGGCGGGAAAGGATGCTGGCGTCTGAGAAAAAATCGGGCGAAAAAGATGAGTAACTGGGATGCTGTTTGTGTCTTCGATTTGTTTTGTTTTGTTTATCTCATCTTTTCTTCTTCTTCTTCTTCTTCTTTTTCTTCTTTTTCTTCTTTTATTTTTTTTTTTTT